AGCTTTTGTACCTTTTTTCTAAGATGTGTTTTTCCCCCCTTGAACTTGTCACAATGCATTCTGGTATTGCCTTCTTCACTAAGTTGTAGACATGCACTGCTGCCATGGAACAGGAACAGCCTTTATGTTGTGTGTGTTGTCCCTTACAATGCTGCCTCCGTAGGCAGCTCGCTAGGTTTGGGCACAGAGCCACGGAGACACCGGTTACGACTGTTACCTTGTGCGCCTGTGCGAGCTATAGGGACACAGGGAGAAAAATAATACATGTCATTGACGTGCTCACGTCTACACACATACAAGAGACACACTGCACGGTGTGTGACCTGATCTCGTTCTCGTAGTGCTCACTGAATGGAAGAGTATCTTGATGAGACCTTCAGGGAGTTAACGGAGCTACTAATGAGGACTGAGTTGCATTTTATGAAGGCGAATGATTGGAGAACACACATAGACTTAGTAGAGAAAATACATTCGATTTTTTAGACCGCAAACCCTTTACAAAAATGTACCATAGTGGCATTAATTTCTGCCAAAATACCATAGATACTTACTACAGTTGTTGATGGTACTGTAAATAAATAATATTACAGTGTAAGAAATCTCTTCAGAATATTTCTGTTAATTCATTTATTTATTTATTTTTGATAATGGTGGTGATTTATAAATACAAGTGTTGTAACTTATTTTAGAAACAGTCATATTTTTGCAGAAACTATGGTTCACATTGTACGTTTCTGTAAGGGATACAGATGCTGTACACACACAACATGTCATGATTTATACTTACTGCGCTGTCCACATAGGCTTCGGTCCACACTGTGTCATGTTCATGGTCGATAACTTTAGGTCTGCTCATCACATGCAAATACCGCATCACGTTCTCCTGAACATCAGCCAATGTGGAGATCTGACTAAAATAACCTGCACAACATATAGCAACATTGCATATTTGAATTACTCTCTGAAACTTAAACACACACACACACATATATACACATATATATGCATTTTGGTAACAATTTCTATGAACATACATAATGCCTTCATTTAAAGGTATTTATAATGTTTTAAAATAAATATTATAATTATCATTGTAATATATAAGACATTTACATTTTTACAAAAATTTCTATTTCAAATTAAGGCTGTACTTTCGAAGAATCCTGAAAATTCCACAAAAATATTAAGCAGCACAACTGTTTTCAGCATTGATAATATTAAAAAATGTACACAATCATCAAATTAGAATGATTTCTGTAGGATCATGTGACAAAGCAATAAATTACATTTTAAAATGTTTAAATAGAAAATAGTTATTTTATATTGTACTAACATTTCACAATATTACAGTTTTTACTGTATTTGCTGTACAAATAAATGCAGCTCTGGTGGATACAAGCTGATTATCAGATGCATTTTCCATCCATTTGGCAGTTTTGAAAATGTGCATGTGCTACTGCAGAGGCTGCAGGTGCAGAGCTAGAAACTCTCAGCATGGTGTGTGTGTGTGTATGTGTGTTCCTCCTCCCGCGGCCAGTCATCTGTGGCGCTGGCACATGGGAGTGATCAACGCTGTGCAGCCACGGGAGCCGTGCTGACAGGAAGAGTGATTTAGGCTCAGTTGACCCTTGACCTCTGCATGTCAACTCTGCGAGTTGAGCCAGTTCCCGTCACACTCCCATCAAGCACTCAACACCCGCGTGATTTCCTCCAGCCTTCACACCAATAAACCCACAGTGCTGAACTGAAGCTTTCGTGTTCCAGCAAAACCCAGCCAGGATAATTAATTAACTAATTAGCAAAAATTAAAATGGAATGTACATTAAATTCAGCTCGTCATTTAGAAGATCATACAAAAAAAAAAAATCACAAACCTTTATTGGCACACGCCATCCATTTTAGGTTATCAGCGAACGCAGATTCCCGGCCAATCAGATAGGGGAATATACGAACCTATGGAGAAAAAGAAAAGAGTATGGTTTTTTAAAACTTTTTTTTTGTTGTTGTTGGTTTTTTAAATACTGATACACAAAATCAACTCCTGCGATGAAAACTCTTTTACACATGAGTAGCTTTTAGCTTGGCATGCTACAGTTTCAAATTAGTTTAGTCAGTACTTGTATGTATTTGTATGTACAAATAAAGCACACATGCTGCAGATCTCTGAATTTAAACCAAAGAATCTGCTTGTTTCCCACAATGCAATTTCCCAACGTCAGGGTAAATCCTGATTACTTGATTACTCATTGGAAAACAACTGCCTTGGCGCATTTACTTAATTACACAACTGGTGTAACAAATCAGCTACGAAAATTGTTCACCATATGTTTTAAGATTCAGTTTTACATATCTACCAGAGACCCTGCATGAGTACTGAGAGTATGACAGCAGTGATCATTCAGGAAAACATGGCAATTACAATTTTACTTTTTTCTTTCTATCTTTCTTTTTTTTTCAACTTCAAATCATTTTAGACTGTTTGAAACGCAGGGCCTTATTTTTATATGCTATTATATTTTTTATTAATATTTTGAATTAGCTTTTATTTTTATATATTTTTTGTAATTTTGCTATGTGCCTTTGTCATTTTTATTAGTTTTTATATTGCTATATAGCTTTAATTTATTTTTATTTTACATTTTTTAATTTATTTTCACCTAATATTTTATTTTATTTCAGCTTTATTTCAATTAGTAACAATGATTTTTCATAGTTTTAGTTGATAACAAGCCTCATAACAAGGCATGTTTTACATTTTACATTTACTAAAGGCAATTTCAGAAATGCATCTAAAAAAATTAAATGCTATTCATGTTTTGTAGTTTCTTTTTCAACTTAAAAACATGATAAAAGCATGTTTCAAGATGCGCTTGCTACAAGATGCTAAAAAAACAGCCAAATGCGACAATCAAAGGCATCTGACCGAGTATAGAGGACAAATAGATTTATCTTTATCTCAATACAGAAGACAGATTGACCAAAATGCACATCCTTGAATATTTAAACATTTATTTTATTTATTAATTTGTGCACATGAAGGTGGTCTCAAAATACGGCCCGTGTAAACGCAACCATTCCTCTCGATGTTCCTTCTCTGCGCACTCATTTTTTTCTCCCTCTCCCTCCCTCTTTTTCACTCTCCATCCCTCCATTTCTCAGTACATTGCTCCTGTCTCCCATGTATAAATGGTTTTTGATTCCAACCAATACTGAGCGGTTACACCGCAGTGGGCCAGCGACAATTCATACACACACACACACCTTCTGCAGGCTATAAAAACACATTTCTCCCCCCGCTGATTAGGATATGAGACGCAGACTTACACACGTGACCAATACAGGCCAGGAATGTTCACTTAACATGTTCACCTGAATGCCGAATATGCATTTTGGTAACAATTTCTATGAACATACATAATGCCTTCATTTAAAGGTATTTATAATGTTTTAAAATAAATATTATAATTATCATTGTAATATATAAGACATTTACATTTTTACAAAAATTTCTATTTCAAATTAAGGCTGTACTTTCGAAGAATCCTGAAAATTCCACAAAAATATTAAGCAGCACAACTGTTTTCAGCATTGATAATATTAAAAAATGTACACAATCATCAAATTAGAATGATTTCTGTAGGATCATGTGACAAAGCAATAAATTACATTTTAAAATGTTTAAATAGAAAATAGTTATTTTATATTGTACTAACATTTCACAATATTACAGTTTTTACTGTATTTGCTGTACAAATAAATGCAGCTCTGGTGAGCATAAGAGACTTATGTTCAAAAACATTTAAAAACCTTACCGACCCCAAACCTTTGAATGATTTTGTATATATTTTCATGTATATTTTGTCTAAATGCATTTTAGTAACACTGTAAATATACTGCATTTTTACAGATTTACTTTTACAGAGGAAAATTTTTTTATATATATAATACACACACACACACCTTCTGCAGGCTATAAAAACACATTTCTCCCCCCGCTGATTAGGATATGAGACGCAGACTTACACACGTGACCAATACAGGCCAGGAATGTTCACTTAACATGTTCACCTGAATGCCGAGTGCTTTATGAACATGTCTGGTAGCGAGCGCAAACTGCGCCTTTGTCAAATACTGGTTCGCAGGGTCAATCAGGTGACTGAATCAGCACCGCCAAGGGCAGGTACATGAGCAAACCCTCCAAATCAGTTTATTCAACACTTTCCCCCATGTTTGAAGAGTGTGTCAAATAAGCTGGTGCTGTCAGCAATTCAATATACATTAACACACTTTTTCAGACAACCACCGCAGGAGCCAAACACAATTCTTCAAAATGTCAAAATGTTCTCAAAAGGGAATTTTACACTCGTGCAGGGGTGAAAAAAGCAATCATAACTAAATCTATAAAGTAAGAGAAAACACACTGTACTCAGGCAGGAAACGAACCAATATACTCAAAAGAAACAAGGCTGCAGTTTATAATGCATCTCAAGTAAGATTTAATGACACATATTCATGATTGGGATGCTTTTAAACTGAAAATGTGGTTGTTATGCATGGAAAACCTCTTTTTTTTTTTTTTATCTTACCTTGCGCTCAGGCCAGTTATATTTGGCGAAAACATCATCGTACATTTGAGTGGCTCCATCTGTTATCAGCATGATTGCCTGACTACATGAACTTCCACGGCCAGTCTGATTAATCTGCGCAGTGAGAGAGAGAGAGATAAGGAGACATGAGAGAAAGAGAGAGTTTTCATTATAAGAATGAGAATTTGGTTCGACAGAATAAACTCAAACTACCAAACAGCCTTAGAGAGATTCACTAACAACAGAATCAAACAGGAAATTGTCTTCAAAATGGTTTCTGCATCTACATTATCAGTCTGAAAAGAGCTATAGCCGATATTATGCTGTATGAAACAATGGTTCTGGTCCTGGATGCTGACTGGTCAATATCAAGAGTGACTGGCTAAAGTAGCAATGCCACTAACTTAACCACATTTTTTCAGTATAACAGTATCAGTAGCTTAACTTTGGACACAAAATAGCACAACCTTTTATACTTTTTGTTTAGTTATGTTATGATTATGCTGTTTGGATACAGTATGTGTGTTATTACTGTAAAGGCGACAATGCATCAACCGTATTTGTGAAGTTCTGCAAGTTTTGATCAAACCTGTGTAATATGCAGACAATAGACGAGATAATAAATTTGGGGTCAGTAATATTATTTTTTATGTCTTAAAAAGAAGTCTCTTATGCTCACCAATGCATTTATTTGATCAAAAATACAGCAAAAAATATTGTGCTTTTTTACATTTAAAAATAGCTATTTTTTATTTTAATATTTTTTAAAATGTAATTTATTTGATAGCAAAGCTGAATTTTTAGCAGCCATTACATTTTAAGTGTCAAATGAGTGTTCAGAAATCAACATTTGTTATTGTTATCAGTGTTGAACTATATTATATATTTTTTTTGGAAACCGTAATACATTTTCATAACTTTTACATTTTTGATAAACTTTGATGAACTGAAAGTACAAAAGAACAGCATTTACTTGAAATTGTAAATAATAATAATTAAAAAAAAAATAATTAAAAAAAAAAAACTTCTGTCACGGAAACGGGTGTGTGGAGGCAGGCAGGACGACGACAAGGATTCCAATACTCACTTTTAATGTAGACACAACAAGGCAGGTACAGGTAGGTGAAACACACACACTCGGGGTAACATTCACAATAACCGACACCAATGCTCAGACAGACAGGAACTAATATGGGGTGAATAATTAGAGGCAGACAGGTGAGCACAATGACGGTGATTAACTAATGATTAGACGGGCTAAACCAACACAAAGGGAAGAAACCACAACAAACAGTCCACAGGGGCGTTACACCTTCCTGACACCCATTTGAACAGTAGTGTATAATATATTAACTTGACATAAACAAACCATGCACATGTTCCAAATTATGTTTTCCAGCATTATTTGAGTTCACTTCCAGGTTAAAAAGGATTTATTTTCTATTTATATGAGCAGAATACACTATATAGTATTTAGAAGGATACATTTTGCTGCTAAAATAACCTGCATTATGGGTGATTATCAAGCTTTTGATTCTCTATTATAGTCTTTGCACCAAATGAACTTTACTGCGGTGTAGTGCATGATGTCATTCGAAAAGTCAAAGACTGCTGCATCTATTTCAGTTTTTTTTTTTTTTTTTACTTTCAACCAATCAGACACAAACACAGTATGCAGTCCTTTAAAGGGGCCGGACTCTGGCTTTTACGATTACCATATTAATGGACTGGCTCTAATGAATGTGACAAATACAGATATAAACCTATCCTCCTTTCTGTCTCTGCGTTTCTCCCCTCCTCACTCTTTCCAAGAGACTAGTGGTCCGAGAAAAGAGAGATAAAGGGTGCAACCGGACTGACTTTGAGCGCTATCTCGTTTGCAATTGCCTTCTCTTTCATCAGCGTATTAATCAGGGCTGCCAATTACCACAATTAATCACAGGGAGAGACAGAGGTGTCTCATAGGTGGCTGGAACAGTAAGTCAAAATGTGCGCTCACACAGACAAACACACACACCACTTGAGTAGGAGCAGAACGGAGAGCTGTCATGACACCTCACCTCTGTAATCTCACACTTTTGGTAATCTTCACCTACCTCATTTAAGATAGTGAAAGCCTCAGTCAGTGCATTGCCCAGGAGTCCAATTCCTTTGGCGAATAACTTGACTAGATGCTCTTTAAAGTGCTGATGAATAAGAACAAAAGAAATTACTTTCAGATATGTTTTAGGAGTCCTAATTTCACTGAAAATTAGGTAATTATAGCCAGAAAGTGTGTGCTATTGTTTAATAAGAGAAAGACATACATCCTTATTAGTGCTGTCAGCTTGAACGAGAGTGCCATTTAGACAGGGCTCCACATAATGGATCTCTTGGTTGTACTGGAAACACAAGAAATATTAGACACAGTGAGCATTAATTAAAAAAGGGCTTTCAAATTAATTGATATCCTAAAGGGTACTGATTATGTCACATGTGGATATTAAATCAAATTCCCTTACTTTTTTTTTAAGTGCATGAACATACTGTAACTTTCAAAACAAAACAAATTTCTCAAAAAAAAAAAAAGTTTGGGGGCGTCAGGATTTTTAATGTTTTTGAAAGAAGTCTCTTATACTCACCAAGGCGGCATTTATTTAATAAATAAAACACCACAAATATTGTGAATATTTTTACAATTTAAAATATGTATCTATTTTAATATATTTTAAAATGTAATTTATTCCTGTGATGGTAAATATGAATTTTCAGCATCATTACTCCAGTCTTCAGTGTCACATGATCCTTCAGAAATCATTCTAAAATGCTGATTTGCTGCTCAAGAAACATTTTTTATTATTATCAGTCTTGAAAACAGTTGAGCTGCTTAATATTTTTGGTGGAAACCATGATATATTATTTTTAAGATCTGATGAACAGAAAGTTCAAAAGAGCAGAATTTATTAGAAACAGAAATCAGTTTTGATCAATTTAATGCATGCTTGCTTTATATTAATTTCTTAAAATACTCACTGCCCATGTTAGATAAAGTTTTCCACAGCCACTGATCTCGAGTCAGTTTTACCGTATCGTTAATTATTAAGATTTGGATTTAGGTTGTGGAAACTGATCAGCTGCATTAATCTGGAGCAGCATTTGGAATGATATCTATATTCATAAAAACAAATGGAGCGAAAGGTGGCTAAGATTTCTCAAGCCTTACACAAGTGAGGAAGCTTTCTCTGTTGAACTCACTGCAATAATGTTGAAGAAGTCATCATCCCCAAGCGTGTCCAGTATGGAAGCAACCGTCTGTCTGGCTATAGTCAATCTTAAACCCTTCATACTGCCACTGACATCCACCAGAATCACAACATCTTTAGGAGAGGTGGCTGCCTGGATATACCTGAGACAACAAAATGAATGAATTTACACAACTAGATTAGAAATAAACTAAGGTTAGGCTATACTGGAATCTATTCTTGAAAATGAAACAAAGCTGATCACACTCACCACCACAAAACAAATAAAAAAAGCACAAAAAATACATTTTAAGAATCATTTAAAGCAGGAAAAAAAAATAGTTCATACCATTTCCTGTTCCTGCAGTCAAAAGCAATGACACCATGTTCATCAGGATGCCATTTCACACCTGAGAACACACAGTGTAAAAAGAATTTCATTCACACGTGTGACTTCATTTAATGTTCCATATTTATTGTTTTGCAGACTCTTTGGCTAAAAATCAAAGAGATGGTACAACTCTGCGGCTCAGCTCTTTAACCACATCTGTTTAGCACAAATAGCTAATATATGTAAATTTGGCATAATGCTATAAGATGTAAGATGTGATTTAGTCTGCCACAAGCTTTGATTAATGGAATGATTTTTCTCTTATGTCCTCTCTGATGGTCTGTAAAATTAAAACATTAGCGAAATCAGCCAGTTTGATCTTCATCAGTTCCTGCGCAGACTTAATGTAACATTACGCACCTGGGTATTGTCGGAAAAAACCTTTAGCGCTTCCAAAGTACTGCCAAATCCCTCTCTAAACTGTTCTCAAGTGCGTTCTCTCATCACCGCTGCTGCTGCGTGAATATCATTGGTAGTAGTAATATCATTATGTTCCAATTGGTCAGTAGAGGAGCTTAGCTTAGCCTGACAGTTAGCCTGCTTTAGACCAGGTTAGTCAAGGATATTCACCTTTTTCTCATTCAGTCACTGTGTGGTCAGTTTTGCTGTGTTCTTTTGGGTCATTGTCATGTTGGAAGGTAAACTTTCTTCCCGTTGACAACTTTCTGGCAGAGGGCAGCAGATTTTCCTCAAGATTTCGATGGTATTTTGCCCTGTCCATTTTTCGTTCTATCCTGACGAGTGCTCCAGTCTCTGCTGCAGAGAAACACCCCATAACAGGATATTACCACCTCTATGCTTTACTGGAGGAATGCTGTTGTTTGGATGGTGAGCTGGATTGGATTTCTGCCAGACATTTCATTCGGTGTTGAGGCCAAATAATTCAATTTTAGTCTCATCTGCCTCAGAATCTTCAAGGTGAGTTTTGGCAAAGCTCAGTCTGACTGCATGTGGCCTTTCTTGAGGAGTGGCTTTTTTCTTGCAACCCTCCCGTACAAGCAACATTTGTGGAGAATTTGTGATATTGTTGTCATATGCACACAATGACCACTCTTTGTCATAATTGTCA